AGAAATAGGTAAATTTTATGTTTTGGAAACTACAAAATAAAAAAAACAACAATAATGTTTTGAAAATATTGCTTTATTTGTTAGCATTTTTAATTGCACAGTCAATAAATTAAATACGTAGTTTTATATGCTTAATTACGTTTTATAATAATTTTTATATGCTTATACTGTAAGAATCCATCCAATCACGTATACTTTATTTGAAAAGGGAAAGCTGAACTCAGTATTATAAAATAATATAGAATAAATTAGATTTAAAATTGTAATATAACATTGAGGTGTGGATAAAGGGAAGTGAATATAATACATAGGGCAACAATACAGATAGGCATTTTAGGCAAACCTAGTCGTGTAAACAAAACCATGTTAAGTAATGAATTCCAAATCGACAATACGACAAGGGGTCAATAAATGTCTGGTAATATTGTATATTGCATTTCAAATGCAAATATTTGTTAACAAAAGACTATCTGAGAAATATTTTGGGGTTTATATCAAACATAAAAATATTATGCCTATGAGGAAACCAAACATGTTTTGAATTTCGACATAATATAATTTTTGGTAATTGTAAATATACTTCGTATAATAATTCGAAATTAAAAAAGCATTGCAGATAATAAATATTTCTCTCTGTACTGATTTAGACTAGACAAGTTTAATTGCGGCTATTTCTATTTTCCCTTTTGAACTTGACTCTCGCATTTGTGCAAGGCAATTTGTTTTCAGAAATTTAGCTTTTTCTGTAGTTGCTGATTACATATTTTATTAAAAAATTACTACAAAAAGGATTTGCCAGTACAAGCTATTTTTTACATTTCCTCTCTGCTAAGCTTGCCTAATGTAAAATCGGAATTGGCATTGAACATAGCAACGTTTCGAATTTGTTCAAGGTTAGGCCACTATTTCAATTATTGTCATACCCACATTTCATACGGCCGAGTTACCAATGTACCCAAGGACCCTAGGTATATCTATTATAAACATTTTTTATTATGTGCAGATGTGTTAACTTTTTTTCGGCACAACTTAGTTTCGCATTTGAGTTTTAAGGCGATTTAAGGGAATACAGTATTTTGCTTAACTTTTACACCCCAATCTCATCCTAACGTCAGCACAAGTTCTGAATACACATTTTTATCCAAATGCTACCCCGAAATGCATCGAACGTTTAAATTTTAAAAGTTGAACAAATTCAAAATAAACAGTACTACTTTATGTCAAATTTGTATGTTAACAACAAACAATAATAAAAATGTGAAGGTGTGCAATTGAAAAAATAACATTTGAAAGATTTTTTTATTTTGCTGTGGTTTTATTGGTTTCCTTGAAGATATGGACCTTGCATATTTGGGTAATAGGAAGTACAAAACATTTTACCCTAGTGGAGAAGGTGAGTACATTGTATGTCACGTCGGGTATTAGATAGGCGTGTTGCGGTAATTTTTAAATGTGTGTTCACTTATCTTTACAGCAATGTCCATTGACTTAATTGGTAGACCTTGACTAAATGTTGCATGATAAATCTTCAAGTTTATATATTCTCCTTTTCACATCTTTTGTACTTTTCTTTATATCTTTTGATATTAACACACAGACCTATGTCTCGGAGTGAAATAGCCGCTCCCTCAACAATAACTAGCTGCATCGCCCACTAAAACTAAGGGATAAGCTAAAGTAGAGTTGTCGGAAATAAAATCATAAAAATAACAAAATAAATTAAAATTTACGGAGATGATTGTTAGATTGATTCAATATCAGTGTATCGAACATTCAGGATGTTAACTATTGAAATCAAGTTGGGATGCAATGCGTAATGGAACCACAGTATCACATGTTTGAGTAAATGTGCTTGAAAATTAAACCAAAATTTCATAGTAAATTATCTATGCTGATTAATTGAATCTACTGACAACAATTTTAATATTATAGCTTGTTGAAAAAATCGATACTTGTAAACAAAAAAAAAAAAAAAACTAAATCATTGGCTGTCCTCGTTTTATTATATAAATTGTTCTTTATTTCATAACCATTTTCTAACTCTCTATCAATTTGCTAAAACGAACTATTGTTTAGAAAATATGTCTTTAATATTTTGTTGTCCTTGCTAAATTATATAAATTGTGTTTTATTAAATAAACATTCTCTAATTCGCTATCAATTTGCTAAAACACTGGGAAAATATGTATCTTTAATATTTTTGGTAACAAAACATGAACGCTGTAAAACAATGTTATTTGGTGTATTTTTATATTGACACCACATACATACAAAACAAAAAAGTACAGGGGCCGGTGAAAATTAATACACAAACGAAAATGAACACAAAACAAAATTTATGATGGCAAAAGTAAATAACAACAGCAGTGCAAACTAACGAACCGCCATTTTGAGAATCGAACAAATGAATAAAAAAATATACGAAAGAGCGTAGAAAAGGGAATAACACAAAAAAATTGCCAAGAAACCAAAGCACGCGTTTCAAAATGAAAGGAATTCTTAACCTCACTTTCTCTATAACACAAACAGCAGCTTTCAGCTAAAAATTCTCTCAAGATAAAAAAAAGGAAAATACAAAACAATATTCATTAATATTAGACTATTTTTCGACGTCAGAAAATGGCGCGATTCCTTTCCATGTTATTCTATTTCTCCCAATTTTTGAAGTACAGTTGTACATTCACGCGCCCACTAAGGGACTGACTCTTCGCTAGAAAAATCACATGAAACCGCAAGTATACATCTATCGAGAGTTCGTACAAATAATGTAATACGACCCTCAATTTTCCATTGTTCTTCTGCGTGGTATCATGTGTACCAATCAAAAAAAATTACTGCTAAAAGCTCCCACCGATATTTCTTTACGTAACATATTCGTTTTGGAAGAAAATCAGAAACGCTTTATTACTCAGCGGTATAAACCCGATATATTAGACGTTTTAGTAAATACCTGTCGTCATCGCGTGTAGTATTAGTTGATTCCGTGTTTCCATTAGTGGTACCGGCAGTACCTCCATTTTCTTTTTCGTTATTTGAAGCGCTGACGTCTTGAGAAAAATCTTCGCCATTCATTTCACAATCTTGATTCTTGTTGTCGGCCATTTTTTGTGTGGTACGTGAAAGGTTAATTTAATTTAAAAACAATTTCACTTTATTCTTTAAAAAAAAAAAAACAATATTTCTCTTCCCCAGATTACTTTTTCTTTTACCAACGACACTAGCTAGCCGTATAGCTGATAATTACAATATGGCCGGAAAAGACAGAATAGGAATGCGTAGGTCGACTCTACGCTAATCGTCTTTTATCGATTTTTAAAGAAATCCAAACTATGCCTAGAGTACATACTATCGTTAAGCTGAATGCTTAACAAGCGTTTACACTTGAAAGTTCGAAAAACAATACATTCACACAAGCTACTTGAAAAAAACTAACTTACTTCACAAAAATATTATGGTAGAAGAATACAGGCGGTCGCATCAACACAACTGCTGGGACAATGAACTGGCAAACCAATTTTGAAAATGAAAAAATAAAAATAAAAAAAATGAAATTAAAAAATATGTCAAAATCGTTAAAATTTTTGAAAAATACATATCATAACAATCTCTGATTAGGGTCGTATAACAAAACTTATAAAAATCTACTTGTTTCTCAAAAAAAAAAAAAAAAAAAAAAAAAAAACATTTTAAAAATATTGACATAGCGTCGATGCAACTTCCTGTATTTTTCTACCATGAACTTATGTTCCAGAACTGCAAGTACCTGCAAGAATCTACTATGTTTTTGTGTTTTTCTTTTTATAGTTATTTCTAAAAGTAAATATTACCAATTTTGGCACAGACTACAAAAGTACATTTTTAGGAGCAAAAGGCATTGTTTTAATGCAAAATATTTCGATTAAACATTTGATTTAAAACAAAACCAAGTTTTGAGTTCATTTAGAATCAAGCAGATAAATCAAGACAATATCCTTGAACATCGTATAAGGGAATAGTATAAATGGGCTTTTAGAAAGTAGAAGCAAAATAACAACAAATACACAATTCAACAACAACATAAAAAATTGTTATTGTAAGTAATCCTAATTTCAGAGTTTTGCAACGAAAAAAGGTAAATTGAAAGTTTTTTGGAATTTGGATTTTTAAATATTCCTAAAATTTTTAATTTTAATGCTTTCATATTCTTATTCTTCATGTTTTCTTGTGAGCTGCTAATCAGCTGCTCCAGCTCTTGCACACATCTACTAGTTTTGCAATTTTCTTTAATATCATAATGGGAAAATCGGTTATCTAGTAAAGACTTTTAAATTCTTGCAGTTCTGGGGCTATATTCTTGTTCTATGAAAATGTGAAATGAAAAATAACATTTATAACATTTTTCATTTGACATTTCTTTCCTTTATAAAAGTTTTCATTTCACATTTTCATAGAACAAGAATTGAGGCCCTGGGGCAGACCAAATTTTAAATCAAAATTTACAATTTCACGAGGTATACTAAATTTTGCAGTTTTAGAAAAGAAAACATGAAAAACACGACTATTTTAACAAATGCGATGTCGCTTTTTCTTTGGCGGTAAAAAATTCTGCTTTTTAATACATAACAACTTTATTTTCTATCATCAGCCAAAAATTCTGAACACTGCAATGACGTAAAATTTTATATTAAAAATGTATATACCTGATATACTTATATCAAAATGAAATAATAATAATAATTTGACACTAACATTACAGTCGAGTCGAATCACTTAGGTTTTGCTGCTTCCTTCTAACAATCACCATGAACATTCACATAAATGAATGTGCTTTTGATTCGATAACATAAGACGAATTTTATGTCACGATGTTATATTCCTTTTTTCCCTTTGAAGTTTGCTTCAAAAATTGAGATATTGCCATGTCTTTAAATGTTTTGTCTCGCAGCTAACATCATTAATTTCCGCCCCGTCAATACGCTTCTCTCATTCGATTTAATATATTCATCCTTTTCTAACAACATCAAAGAAAAAGAAAAAGAGAAAAAGAGTTCATTTTCAACACTTCAATTTCAACGCTAAACTTGCAATTATTTTTCGCATATAAAAACAAAAAAGCACTGCACTTACACATAAAATAATAAAAAAAATTGAACAAAACTGTGATTTCCAAAAGAATAGCATAAATTGTGTATAAACACAATTCCTAGAAGACAAAATTGAAATTGAACAGCCGACAGAGGAGTACATAAATACAAAGCGCGAATAAAATTCTTTTCTTTTGCCACAAAGAGAAAAAACGTAGAATTGCAAAAAATACACAAAAAAGAAGAAGAGTAGTAGCAGAAGCAGCAGACGAAGGCGAAACCACACTACATTGGATGGACGCAAAGAAGTGAAGGGGAAATAAAAGAAAAAAGTAACGCCAAAAATAAAAATAATTTCTATTTTTTTAATAAGATTACAAAATTCGTTTGAAAACAATTAACGAAACTAAAACATAGCTTTTAAATTATCTTGCAAAAGAAACAAAATCAAGTAAACGACGGGGGCATTTATCATCACTTTGGTTAGCTAGCTGTGTGTGTCGAAAGGGCGAAATAAAAAGCAACTGGAAAAATCTTTGGACACAACATCCTTTAACTATCTACCATCCAAATATAAAAAATTGCAGCCTTAGCATTTCTCCCCCAACAAAACGAAGAATCTTAAAAAAACAAGCAATAATACAACAAAGTGCTTTATTTAACTGGATATTGGTAAGAAAGTATTTTGTGTGTTTCTTTTTCCACCATATGTATTTACGGGACTGGCCGCTTAAGAAAGCCATGCGGCACTTGTTTCCTTTGTTGTAATTGTGTGATTTTCATACATTTTGCAGAAATTTAAAGTAAATTTTTTCCGGCTAAACCTAACCTAAAATCGGTAATTCAACTGTTTGTTGTAGTTAACAAAAACGTATTTTGGATTTCTCTTTGTCTTCATTCGTTATATTTTTATCTTATATTCCCTTTAACTTATAAAAGTTTAAAAAAAAACTACAAAAAATTTGGTGGGAGCCATTTGCGTGATTTTTCTTTCTGTTTTTTTGGCTTGTCTTTTGTTGTTGTTTCATATGTGTGTTTCAATTTCAATTTTTGTAGCCAATTATATCAACCGGTGCGCCGTCGCCTTTTGAGGTTGAACAGTGACCTTCTAAGGCGTGCTTTTGAAACTAGAAATTTGTTTAAAAGTTGGATCTATTACATCTCTTTTGGATTTGTTATGTATGGGAAAATCAAGAGTCCGTCCCTGGTAATTTTGTGAAGTTTACCAGAAATGGTAAAGGACCATACTTGCCATCATAAATTAATTTGAAATTAGATAGGAATATTTTTTCTCAGTTTTTTAGCACAAAGAAAAGCAATATCAGTATAATATCGAATCCCTTGAGAAAGGCTTATTCTTTCTCGTACAACGTAAACATGAGTTTAAGTTTGATTTAGGCAGAAATGTCTTTCCCTCTTGAATAAACAAACTTATCTGTTTATTGCATACCTTAATTGCCCAAATATGTATATACGAACTTTCCTGAAATCACTTTTTTTTTCTCAGTTTTTTAGCACAAAGAAAAGCAATATCAGTATAATATCGAATCCCTTGAGAAAGGCTTATTCTTTCTCGTACAACGTAAACATGAGTTTAAGTTTGATTTAGGCAGAAATGTCTTTCCCTCTTGAATAAACAAACTTATCTGTTTATTGCATACCTTAATTGCCCAAATATGTATATACGATCTTTCCTGAAATCACTTTTTCTTTGATTTCTTTCTACTTTTGATGACCACAGCGAAAATATAATAAAGTGAACGACTCTGGTATGTTCTGAATAAAATAAGATTTATTATTGCATTATCCCTTTGGAACTATACATTGGGCTGCAATAATATATTCCTTATTAATAATGTAAAGTGAGGTTAAATATTACTTTTACCCTTGTTTGGACAAGGAAATTGTAGAATCAAACAAAACCATAAATTGGTTTTCTCAGCATTTTTTTATGTTCGTACCAATAAGGTATGCAATAAACTGATTAGTTTGTTTGTAGGATTAAAGTACAGTGAATTCTGACTGAATTCTCCCTATTTCACAAAATTAAATTGAGTGTGAAATGCTCTGAAAAATATTAAGTTACACATTACTAAGTGTTATAATCAATAAAGTATTTTTTAAAATCCAGTCAAAATCCATTTCCTTTTTTATTAATGATCCATACCATACCAAACCTTTTTTTTTTTTTGAAGAACTAAATATGTATTACATGTCTTATTTTATATTTTCAGTATAGCTTATGATCCCAATATAATAGGGGAAAAACATTAATCTCTTTCATATACTTATTCGCTTTACAATAATATTACTTTTTTACTTTTTTAGTGTCAAAAAATTGAATCGTCAACGGATGATCAAGTAATTTTTAAACAATTGTAATAGAAAAAGTACACGTTATCACCAAGTTCTTCATTGAAAAGTTGCTATTTGGCGCTATTTTTTAATCAATTTTCACAATAAGCAAAAACAAAAATACACTTACTACCACCAAAAATTAAGACTGTAGTACAAGTCTGTGTAAGCGAGAAACAACAAAACGAAATGGTAATGGATGCAACTCAACCCCAACAACCATCGCCACAATCGGTTGGACGTGAATTTGTCCGTCAGTACTATACATTGTTGAATAAGGCTCCAAATCATTTACACCGTTTCTACACTAACAATTCTTCGTTTATACATGGAGAATCAACTCTTGTTGTTGGTCAGAAGAATATTCACAATCGAATCCAACAATTAAACTTTCACGATTGTCATGCTAAAATCAGTCAAGTAGATGCTCAGGCTACGCTGGGCAATGGTGTTGTTGTTCAAGTTACCGGAGAATTGTCTAATGATGGCCAGCCAATGCGTCGTTTCACCCAAACTTTTGTTTTGGCAGCCCAGTCACCTAAGAATTATTATGTGCACAACGATATCTTCCGTTATCAAGACATGTACTCGGATGAAGAGGCCGATGGTGAATCTCGTTCTGAAAATGACGAAGAACATGACCAACAGCAACAGTTGCCCCCGCAAGTGCAAACCGTTGTTGCAACAAACGCTACTAACGACCAGTCTGGTCAAGCTGTGAATACTACAAACGAACAGCAACCACTGGCGGGCCAGGTTTTGTCTGGCGGCACTGGAGGAGGCGTATTGCCACAGCAACCAACACCTCCTGTTTACTACTCGTTGCCAACTGCAAGTGGTCGCCCTATTACAGTTTTGCAACCTGCTACCGGTGTAGCTCCTGTTCCAATGGCTGCGACAAATTTCACTAATGCTACCGGCGTTCCACCACAACAACAGACTGTGCAAACTAATGCTGGTGGAGTTGCTCAGCAGTTAAATGGAGTTGTTTCCCATGATGAAATAATATCAACCATGCCACAGGCAGTTGCTGCAGCCCAGCCGCAATTAGCCAATCAAACACCTTCGCCTGTTGTACCACAAGCTACAGGTGTAGTTTCAGTGGGAAATACACCCGTTCTTAATGCTCAAACTCCTGTTGGTGTCGCTGGTGTGCCTGTAGCAAGTGGTACAACTACTACCGCTTTGCAACAAACAACTGGAAGTGCCGCTATGCAAAACTACCAACAGTCACCTATCATTCAATCACATATCCTTCCGCAACAACAGCAATCACAACCGCCACAACAGCAACAGCAGATACCAACACCAATGCAACAACAGACTCCACTACAAAACACACCCTCTCAACCTCCACAACAGCAATCTATACAACATCAGCAACAGCAAACTCAAACGCCTCTTTCCTCTGTTACAAATCTAACTGATGCGGACGAATCATTGACAGCTAATCAAGCAAACACTGTTTCTGCTTCGCCTGCGACGGTGTCTGAGCTACAAACTCGCCCTAACACGGCCGCTAATGTTGTTGCCAGTGGCCAAACTGTTTCATCATCACCAAACACAGTGCTTGAACCTCCCACACCAGCTCCAGTAGTTGAAGACTTTAAGACTATCAACGAACAGCAGCAACAAGAGAAATATGAAGCTGCTAAACAACAACAGCAACAGCAAAACGAACCCAAAACGTATGCCAATCTATTTAAATCGTCATCTTCCTCGCCCAGTAGTTTTGTTAATGCTGCCATGCAACAGCAACAGCAAATTCAACAGCAGCAACAACAATCTGTTGGTGGCAGTAGTATGTATGGAAATAATGCGTCATCCATTAATTCTAGTTCATATTCTCAGTCGGCTAATTCCACCACTTCGATGTCAGTTTACAGCAATCGCAATAGTGATAATGGACCTTCTATTCGCCAAGATAATAATAATGGACAAATTGCTGGACCATTGCCCCAACGAGGAAATACAAAAGGATTCAATAAAGGTAGATAAAATATATAACCTGGATCACATTTTCCAAACCTAATTCTATTACAGTTTGATTCCAATATAAAATTTTTAAGTATTTAGTTATGGTAAAATATGTATTTTTTCCCCAGATTTTGATCAACGTCGTACTAGCAATTCCCAACAATTTGGCGATAACCAACAACTGTTCTTGGGCAACATTCCCCATCACGCATCCGAGGAAGAACTGAAGTCTTTATTCAGTCAGTTTGGTTCTGTAGTTGATCTAAGAATTTTGTCTAAGAGTAGCGGCAAAATCCTCCCTGGTGGTAGAAATCCATTAAATTATGGTTTTATTACATACAGCGATCCCGAAGCGGTACAAAATTGCCTGGCTAATTGTGTAAGTAAATAAATATATATTCATATGTATATATATTAATCAACTTTCACACTATTGAAGCAACTTACAATGAGGAATTAGAGGGTACCAGTTGTACAACATATAATCGAAGCCTAGTATTCATGTTTAAACCTATATTTATTAAAATCTTAATGTTGTTATAGATAAGCATTCAATCTAGTGTCGGTATATTGATATTATTAATATTATATTTTTAACATATTTATAGTAAAAATAAGCTTGATCATTGGATTTTAACTTGTTCAACCGAATCATTTTCTTTTTAAATTGAAATATGGTTTTGGTTTGGTTTAAAAGATTTTTTTAGACAATGATTTGGTTCACGGTTTGGTTCATATAGCAAATTACGGGTCGGTTCGACTCCGATTCGTTTAGGAACCGGTTTGCAGACCTGGTATTGACAATTCCTTTCTTAAATTTCTAACATCCAAAAGTCCGCGTTTAATTGCCCATTAAAATTTAGAATTGTTTTTAAATATATGTTAATTCCACCATATTAATATCCATGGACTATTTCATAAATAATATAGGTGCTTAAAATACAAATAAAATGATCATGATGATTTGCTTTTTGAACTCAAAACGGTATGTTGTCGCACTAATGAAGCAAATTACCATTACGAATGGTGTTCCAATACGAGAAAAGGTCGTTGTAAATTTTGTGAAAACGATTTTTTTATTTAAAACCACTTTTGATTTTGCAAGTTATGTTTTTAGGAAAACTTATAATTTTTAAACACTTTTAAAATACTTTCAAGTAATAAAAAAGTTGTGTAAATAACAAATTCGCTTTAAATTTACATTTCTTATCTTTATATTTGAAATATTTAGAAAAATTTTCATTGTTTCTCAATTGACGAAAAAGTGTTGCCACATAATTTTTCTTGAAAACCAGTTTTTTTCTCCCATCCAAAATTATCTAAACTCCCAGCATTGGGCTTTACAGAATTAACTCTCTTTTCGCACAAAAAAAAAAAAAAAACTCTTTAAACAGAATATTTTTCGGAATTTCCACTACTATTCAAACGTTCCGATTCGATTTTGAGACATACCTGATAATTATAATTGAACTATAATTCTTCATAAGATTAACCCATTAACGCCGACCAAAAATAGAGGTGTTTTTTAGCATGCATAGAAAGGGTTTCATATTTGATATCGCTTTTCTGTTTCTTGGTATAGATATTAGATGGATTACCCATCCATATTTGACTTTGGCTGTTATTTCATCAGACGTCACCTACATGATGATAAACGCATCGCCAAGTACAGGTTTTCCCACAAAATAACCAAGCAAAAAATAACCCTATTATACAAAGAAAACACATAGAAAAATAATATATTTTAAATATGCATTGGTATGGATCGGTAGCCCTTTGCCCTTTATTTAACTCATAACATTTTCAAAATTGTGCATATAAACGTCTTTGCGTATATACGTGTTGTGCGTTTTCGCACCCGTCGGCGCTAATGGGTACTTTTTTTTACTAAGAAAAGTATTTTCGGTTAACCATATGTGCGAACGCTAATGAAGCGCTCCCAATCAAAATAGCCGTCACACCGTCTGCTCTCTGTCACGATCTCTTTAATGTATCATTTCGCTTAAAAAATAAAGAGATTGTATATATATATATATATATATATATATATATATATATATATATATATATATATATATATATATATATATATATATATATATATATATATATATATATATATATATATATATATATATATATATATATATATATATATATATATATATATATATATATATATACAGATATACTTCTAGACTGAACCTGGCTGCATGTACCTGCACTACTTACACTGGTGGCCAAAACTAAAGCAACTTAAATCGCAAAGACAATAAATGTCCTGTAACTTTTACAAAAATAAACAAATCGTAATTATTTTTCCAGTTTTAAATCAGGGGTTTAATTCACTTTTAAGAAACTAAAAATAAAAATACAAAAATGATTTTGAACGAAAAATAATATGTGGAAAACTAAAATGACCTAGTTTTTGCTTGGTCAAAACTAAAGCAACTTTTGATTTTTATTTTAAAATAATTAAATTTTGGCTAGTAGTCGATAGCATAACCATTATTTTTGATAGCAGCTGCACACCGAATTCTTTAGAAAATGTTGTGCTTATTTATTTCCGAATCTCTCTTGATCTTCCTATCTACGATACTCCAAAGGTTTTCTAAGGAGTTTAGGTCAGGTGATTGTGCAGGCCATAACAAAACATGTATTTTTGACTCCCGCAACCAATATTTGACAAGTTTTGATACAAGTTTGGGATCCTTGTCATGCTGAAACACCCAAATCAGCCGAATATTTTACTCAGCGTAAGGGAACAACGTGATGTCCAACACATCTTTGTAAACAAACCGATCCACAACTTCCTTTATTTTATGGATAGGCCCAAGTCCATAGAAAGAAAAACAGCGCCACGCCATTTTTGACCCTCCCTCATGCTTCACTGTACCTTTGCAATACTGCGGCTTGAGTCCTTCATTTTTTGGCCTTCTCACCGTAAAATTTTTCACGTCTGAGCCTTTAATATTAAACGTAGACTCATCCCAGAAATAATGTTTTTTTCCATTGAGCTTGATTCCACTTTATATTATCGTTTCCGAAAGCCTTTTTGATTTTTCAGATATAAATGGTTTTTTGATGTCTTACGGGCATGCAGACCAGCTGGCACTACTCGTCTACCCACTGATCTCGAGCTTATATCCAATGATTGCTCTGTCACCAATTCAGTTGAACTCTTAAATAGTTGTTTTTTATTTCTCTCACAATTTGTGGATCAGTACGGGCTGAAGTTTTTCACGGCCTTCATCCGTTATAGACTGTTACTACTGATCCAGTTTCAAGAAACTGACATAGTATACAGAAATAATTATGAAATCACATAAATATTTATGAAATATTTCTCGGAAATCATTTTCTGTGATATGTTGTTTTGATAGTCACTGATAATTTGCTGTTTTATTCAGGTAATGTATTTGCTTCTAGCCATTTTAAATTTTTTTTGGGCTGTACTTAAAAAACGAAAAGAAAAACACATACTGTTGTAAAAACTTCTCAAAAAGGATTTATGACAAGCGAAATTGTCGAAGGAAGCAAAAAGCGATAAATATCACAGTAAAAACAACTGAAATTGCAGCGGTTATATGAATGCACAACAGAGTTGCTTTTGTTTTGTCCAAGCCAAAATCGGTTTAATTGACTTTACCAAACATTATTTTTTATATAAAAATGAATTTTGGTTTTATGTTTTAGGTTTTTAAAAAGTGAATAAGTACCTAATTTTAAACTAGAAAAACTTTCTCATTTTCTTAATTGTTGAAAAAGTTACAGGGCATTCATTCTCATTGTAATTTCAGTTGCTTTAGTTTTGGCCACCAGTGTATGTATTGTGCACTACTTATGAAATCGGACGACACTATGTATTGGAGCTATATTCAAATCTGATCCGTTAAATACAATTTCCATAGATTTGCAATAGGATAATATTCTCTTTTTATAAGGTAAAATATTTTCTTTGTATCAAATGACATTACCCTCTTAGTCATAAGACTGACGTTGCAGAAAAGCGAAAAAGAGACATAAATAATTGGTCGTTTAGGTCGTTTATAAATAATTTTATGTTACTCTTCAGACTTATCAACATCCAGCACGTATATTCGAATCCCTATATTGTAAAGTATAGTATAATAATTAAAAGTATAGTATAATAATAAAAAATAGGGTGCAAAAGGCACGTGAAATCCCATTAGTGTTGCTATATTATCAAACAAATTTTCTCCAATATTCATAATTAGAAAAATTAAAGAAGCAGTAAGTTCGGCCGGACCGAACTTTGAATACCCTCCACCATAGGAAACGAATTAGGAAATTTTCAAAAAAATAAAAATACCGAATATCGAGAGGTGCCGATATATTTGGCGATATACGATATTGTGTACCTATAAAGACAATTCTCTTTCAGAGGGTACTCACAAGGAACTCCTTGTGTTGAATTTCAGACAATTCCATCGGAATTCCATCAAAATACCCAATATCGGCGGGTACCGTTGTATGGGGACTATATCAAAACGTGGACGGATATATATCATTTTCAATACCAACCATCCTAGACACAATACAAATTGTTCTGCTAAATTTTGATGCTCTACGTCAATAATGGGGCAGATAGACAGACGGATGGACATCGTTAATTCGACTTAGAATTTTGTGCTAATTATGAATATATATACTTTATGGGGTCTTCAACGAATATTTAGGGATGTTACAAACGAAATGTCAAAGTTAATATACCCTATAATATTATCGTCTAATTTTTGAGTAATTTTATAAAAATTCCAACTTAATTCATGTATTTTCCTTTACAATGCTATTAATTTATTAAAACATTTTCTAGTACTAAAATTGTACTCAGTTACGCCCACGGGTGCGAAAACGCACCACACCCTGCACGAGCAAGGGGTAGAGATAGGGGGCTGAATTTTTGTGCGCGGAATATGAGTGACATTATGGCATTCTCCACTAAGTTTCAACATTTTTTCCCACAAATAAGGGAGCCGGCGTTAATGGGTTAAGGAAACAATATTTAACAATGGAGTCCTATTGATAAATGTTTCGTGAGCTATGTCGCCCAACGACGACGTCAAACGTAATAATAATAGAATACTATTTCATTTCATACAAATTACAGCCACTTTATTTGTAAGACGCATTTTTTTCTTGTGCTATTTATTTATTTTTTGTATTTTTAATGTGCCAATAAAATATTTTTTTTATTATAAAATTACAGCCCCTATACTTTCCGGACAACTCTCCGGATGGACAAAAATTGAACGTTGAAGAGAAAAAACCTAGAGCGCGTACCAACGATATGCCACCACGCCAAAATATGGGTGGCAGTGGAATGAATAACATGAACAATAACCAGCGTAATATGTCTAGTGGTGGACCCCCATCACGTTCTCTTTCGAATTCCGGTAGTGGAGGTGGTAGCATGATGCGTGGCAATAGTGTTGGTAACAACAGCAGCATGTCACGTGGTGGATCTAGCGGTGGCGGCGGTGCCGGTCCTCGCATGGGTGGTGCTTTTAATCGCAACGATAATCGTACTTCAAATGGTGGAAGCGGATCACAAATGCGTGGTGGAAATAATTCACAGACACAAGGAAACAGTTATGGTGTAAGACGCTAACCATTAATATTCTTTTATCATCCACAAAATCCAGCTCCACCACCACCATCATTACAACCACCTCCACCACCAACAGTTGCAGTACCCACAGCAGCTACAAACACAACGACACCTCGTCCAATGAATTGTTATGCTCCAACCGGTACAGCAATTGTAACATCGTCAACAGCAGCAGCTCCTCCGCCTCATTAGAAATCACAGTATCTGCAAACTTTTTGTGGGCATTCTTCTTTATGATCAACGAACGCAACGGAGGGATAGTACAGCTTTTATTAAACGTAATCTTTATAAGATATACGCGTAAGCGACTTTTAGCGTTCCTTTTTATTTAAATATTTTACATTAGTATTTTAAGAATTTTATTTAAAATTAATAATACAAAGTATTTTCTTGTGTATTCTTTGTTTTGATTTGCCCAAGCTGCCTTTTGTATGCACGCTGTCCCTCCGCCAAATTGTTGGTTTTATAAGAAACTCTGCAACGAAAAGATAAACTAAAAATCTCTAAAATTAAATTGTCAACACAAAATGCGCAAATTATTAAGTAATATTGAAATAATTTTTTGTTATTACTTAAATATTGGCGAAAATGAAGTAGTTTACCCTTTCAAAAAATAATTGCCCATTGGTTCATTGTCTATGCGGCATTTCTATCTAAAGAAAAGATAATTTGTGTATTTTGTACACCGTATGTATTGAGTTTTTAGTTTATTGTATGTTTCAAAAATAGAAATTACGTAGGCCAAAGAGGTGTTCACGAAAAGATGTTCTTGCAAAAAAGTAATTTTTTTCGGATATAAGATTTTTTGTTTTAAGACAAAAAACTATAGAAAAACCTGTTGTTTAATGATTTATCGTTTCATTCCGCCATCCATTTAAAACCTCTAAACAAAAATTTCATAAAACGCTAAAACACACAATCATTTCTTTATTTTTTGTATCTAAAAAGAAGAAAATCGAAAATGAAATATTTTATATTTTTTTGTTTAAGTACATAATTTTAAATTATTGTTAAACTTATTTTGTTTTCTAAATTCAATATCTTTCTCATTTTTTTTTTTCGAAACAACAACACACTCAAAGACTAAGAGCTTTTTTAAAGCTATTTATTAAGAGTACGAGAGAAAACCTCGGCGGCGCCTTAAATTAAAAATAAAATTGTATTGTCCTTCTCATTCGTACACTCTCCTCTACTCTTATACAAAATATATAACTAATATTTCAATCAAGCTCTCATTTTTTAAAGGAAACAAAATGTAGTATCATTAATTTAATGAAAACCTGTTTAAATTTATCTTCTTTTTTTATAAAATGATATTGAAATGAAATTATTTTTATTTAATAATAACATTTTTAATTTATAAATTTTTATTTTTTACTTTTAAAGAAAGAAAAAAAAAACAACAAATACACAAAAACATGATGTAATTAAAATATAATTTATATATTTTTTCACTAACTAAAAGGGAAGATGAGAAAATAGATTTTGGGAACTCAAAGACCGTTTAAATTTAAAAACATATATTTAAAAACTTACTGCTACAAAATTTGGAAGCAGTAGTACAAAAAAAAAACTACTTACAATATAAAGGTAGTTTTGAAATATGCCATCGCCAGAGTTGCTTTGTTAAAAGCAAAATTCATTAAACAATTAATTATACGCCGCCTAAGACGAGTGACAAACACTTCATAATGCCAAAATGTAATGATATACAGACTGATCTAGAGAAATAAAGGGAACTATAATTTTGGCCCAAAACTAATGTCTTACAATTAATTGGCTTGGCTATAGCCAAGTGTAATTTAACGTAAAATGGTTTGACATTGCACTTTGCCTTGGTCATATTTCTAATTCTTCTATTTTAGATATTTGTAATTTTTCTGAATACTCCTAGAGCTTTTTCTCTTATGGGAGAATGAAACATATAGCCTGTTCAGCAAACTTATTTTTCTTCCAATTGCTCGGCAAATGGCAGACGATTAGAATTTTTGGTTTTTGTATGTAAGTAAACAAAAAGAGCTTTTTTCAATAGGCAATTTTTGGTTCACCAAACTCCAACACAAACAAAACGAAATGTCAAAGTAGGCAATCAAAAAATACCAATCGTCTATTCACAAAAGTTTTAAAAATTGAAGATATTGGGTGTAAAATGGATATTTATACTAAAAAAATTTAAGTATTTCCAAGTTATTACATTATAAACATTAATTTATAAGGAAATTTCAATCTTTTAGAATTAAAAAAACAACTCCTGGTCAGTTTCGGATCTTGGTGGAATCTATTGACGAATTTCCAGAGCTAGCAACTTCAAGCCCGATATTTGGGAAGTCGAAAGTCGAAATTGAATCCAAATGGGATGTTGTGGCACAAAAAATAAATTCGGTTGGACCTCCAATGCGAAGTGGATCTGATTGGAAAAGGGTACACTAACAGCCATTTGTTTTACAACAGTATTTAAAACGCTTAGGTTTTAGATATGGGCAGATATGAAATGTAGAACGAAGGCCAAAATAACTGAGAATATAAAGCAAATGAAAGGCACAGGCGGAGGACCTTCCTATCAAAATTCGTTGACAGATATCGAAAGGGATATCGATAGGATATGCCAGCTATCAAAAGCCGCATCACCTGATGGAATAACCTTCGGTACAAATAGGAAAGAGCCTCTTGTTTTGGAACTTACGCCACCCAGACCTTCAACTATCGTTGCTGTTGTTACTCCCACAACTTCAGACCAATATTCAAATACAGCACAAGCGACATCAACCCCTATCAAAGTTATGCCGAAAGCAAACCTTTGCAAAAACCAACAGAAACGAAAGATCGCAGAAAAAGAACAAGGGGCAGAAATAAAACTTTTAAAATTACAATTGGAGCAGAATAATGCTTTGGTAGAAGAGATGAAGGTGCAAACAAAAACACTCAACTCGCTGGCCAATTCTCTCCAAGGCATTCAACATGTCTTGCAAGAAATGTTAACATTTTTAAAAACTGAATGAAAATAATTGTGTTAAGACATTTTTTAATCAACTAATCAATTTTATTGTTTCCCTATTAATTTAATTTTAATAAAAAAGAGCTTAATTACATTTTTATTATTTATGTTTATTTATTTAATTATTTTTAACTATTTAATTTAACAGATTTAAAGCTATTTCGTCTCTAATTGTAATAGCTGCCGTTTCATCGCCAGAGGAAAAACTACCTAAATCTTCATTTTCATTTTGGAACATAGCATCACTTGGTAACAAATGGTTCTTATAAAATATACATATATTGTGCAAAGCACAACACGTGTTTATAATTTGTGTTGCTTTGGCGGGACTGTAATGCAACCCTCTCGATCCTATGATGCACCTAAACCTATTCTTTAGAACACTAAAACACCGTTCTACAACATTTCGAGTTTTTGAATGTTTCTTGTTGTAGTTCCTTTCGGTGGCATTTGAAGGATTCCGGTATGGCGTCATCATATAGGGCTGAAGTTTGTATCCAGAGTCCCCTTCAAGTGAATTTTAGGAAAGAATATATTTTGGTGTATGTGTGTATTAAAAAAGGCAACTATAAATACCTAACAGCCATGTATTCCTCTTGCCTCGAATAAAATTATTTTTAAAATGATCATGTGCATCGCTCTGGTCCCACACAAATGCATCGTGATGTGCACCTGGATGTCTAGCATCTACGTAATTTATTACCATATTATGATCGCATATCTGTAATGAATAATACAAATTAATAGCATATTTTCATTACATAGCTTTGAAAAAAACTTACCACCATTACATTTATGCTGTAGTAACCTTTACGGTTATAATATAAATGCTGTTGTTGTTGCCCAGGGGACTTTATTCGAACATGGGAGCCGTCTATGCATCCTACAACTCCTGGTACACCAGCGCTGTTGAAGAAGCTTTGTTTACATTCGTCTTCCTCACCTAATGTTTTTTGTAAACGAATCCATTTAGCACATATGTGCTGCTCCACAATGTTCAAGCATTCGCTTATCACCTCCGAAACTTTGGCCTTTGACATATACTCTCATTTCCAACACAAAATTGGTAGCCACCACTTGCCAAAAATTTTAAAAATGTTGAAACTTTTACGATTGGTGGAACACTGCTGCTCCTGGTATTCCGTTTCATTTGTGGCTCCATTTCACCCAACAGCATCAAAAACACATCCTTACTTACTCAAAAATTGGCAATAAATCTGAAACAAAAAACAAAAGTTATGGTCCATTTCATCCGCTGTCCTGGATCCATCCAAACACTTTCCTTTCTTCTGGAAGTTCCAATACGTTTGTGGCATCGCGCAATTGACGAAAAAGATTGATATTTCCGTCACCCCTATTCATACTTTTATTTAAAAGGGAAAGTCCAAAACCAACGGAGGCAATCATTTTTAAAAAATATAAACAAATTTTCTTTTTGGAAACATAAACAAATTTTTGACAGAAGGGCAATAAGTAAAAAGAGCTTTTTTCCCAGACGAAAAAAGTAAATAAACTAAAATAAAAACTTGATTGTCTGGGTAGCAATTGTTTGTCTGCCTTACACAAAAGTTCTGTGAACAGGCTAATAATGAATTTGTTAACTTTCGAAATTTGGTTGTGAAAAAAGCTCGAGTTGCCTTGCCACCCCGCCAAGTAATTTGGGTATGCTTTTGTGGCTCCATTTTAAGGCACAGTTTTCTTTTCTTACAATAACGATTGTTTACTGTGCACCGTTAGACAGTTTGCAATCGCATCTGTTTCCGAGATGTTCCAGCCCAATAAACATCGTCCAAAAATTATTTGAAGAAGCACCATGTATAATTAAATAACTAAAGTGACTAATCATAAACACTTTTTTATACCATGTTAATACACTTTTCCACCATGTAATACTGGCGCAATTCTTAACCAAAATATGAAAATCTAGTATTTACCTATGTTGTTTGCAATCGGTGTCCTGCTCAATTCCCTTGGTCATCGTCGTACTTTGGGAAGAATATGCATCTATCCCAGCATCAGTCACAGAACATTCGACTTCGTTTTGTATAATTCAGTCGTTTTTTTTTTTTTTTTTTTTTTTTTTGTTTATTCTTTTTTCGAGACGAGCTCATGATCTTAAATTTGCAGTGAAAAGGAAAGTCAGATATATGCTATCACACACTCACCACTATGCGACGCGTTTCGCCGATGGCTAAGCGGCTCATCAGGCATATTTGGTGAAAATATTGATAGGTACTTTGCTGCGTAACATCAAACATTCCATTTTTATATTTTGTCCGCTATCGGCAATCAACTTGCAACCTTCAGATTTGTAGTCGGACACGTACACGTTTTTAAACGTTGCAAATCAATAAAAAAATGGCGAATATACTCAATATTTGTTATGGAGGAAAGTAATTTTACTCGCATTCTAGATTCTACGTAATGACTAATTATTTCCAATATGTTGATAATGCAAAAGGTAGTTTGTTAACATTATTCGCAGTTATTCCGCTCATGTTGCTTGTGAATTGGTTTCCAGGTTGCAAATCAATAAATAACTAATGCTATACAGGTGTTCTTACTTTGTGTTAATTTCGATTTCCGATAATTTTCATTTTCCGAAAATATTGTTTCAATGGAAAAAATATTAAAAATCCACATATACTTAGTAAATACAAAAATATATAAATGATTTATGAATGCATATACAAACATGGACACATGGGAAACAATGAATACAAGTGGCAGAAGTAAGGATGATAGTCGAGAAAAACAAAGGAAGTTGTCATAACACCAGTCAGATTCTTTTTCAATATACGGACATGAAAAATTCATGTAGACTTGTCTAAATAGGATAATGATAATGAATATTTTCTCAGAACTTCGCCTATCTACCGCTTTTTCGATTTTCTTTTAAGTCTAAGATAAATGAAAAATCGACTTGACTCAACATTTTGGTGTAGCATTTGTTTTTTCATAATTTATTCTTTTTTAATGGAACCCATGCCCATGCGCACAAGACTGCTTCAAGAAATGACAACTCATGTAATAAACGATAGTGACTATTTTATGAACCAGCATTGTAATGTTAAATTCTGTCAATTCAGTGCAATCATAAAAAACATGAACATAATAGAAACAAATCTTTCTTTTTTTGTAACTACTTACTGAATCACACTAACAGGGAAGGAATCCGCCAATAATGGGGTGAAGCGAGGAACTAGATTTGTGAGTTACAAATCTACCGAACGCAAATAAATTGAATACACGGTATGCTTTTAAATATTTACTACCAAGAAAAAGATTCATAAGGAGGAGAAATGATCATATCGATTGAGAGCAAATACATTGAGTACAAAAAATTCTAAACTTACGAAGGCGATGCGGTTTTTTACTCAGCTGGTGCAAGAAAATATACAACTCTTAATGCACTATATGCCGCTTAAAGCAAATCAATGTCAGGTAGATGTAAACCAAAACTGTTGTCATATATTCTATCAGTTATATGCTATTAAGAAATGAGGCATGGGTACCATAAAGCAATTGCAGTTTTAATTAGTTCGCCAAATACTTATAGTCCACCTAGTCAAATTTCCTGTCAGGGTGAACACAATGGACATGCAGGTCTTCGAGTGGAGCGGTTACGAAGAACCTAACCTATAGTCCACCTTATTCTGAATTAATAGTTACTTACATACGTGGCCCAATACGGAAGGTTTGTTTAATAAGCCAATTTGAACTTTTTTTCTCCAATAATAATAATAGTTACTTATTTCTGTCTTATGAGTCATATCTACCAGTGGCAATGCATGATTACAGCCTTTTTGGTATTTCATAATCACAGCGATACAAAAATATAATAACCAAAATAAGGTTAAAGTGCATGTTATAACATTTGTATGATTCAGTGTCATTTCTCTCAAGGTATAATCACAACATTTCACAATTTTTTAAAATTTATTCATATTTTCTTTTTTCAATACACACTTCGTTATCCCCTAAATTTTGAAACAGTTATTTTGTTTCGCCCGTGTAACTTTTTAATGAAACTGGTGAATTTTCTTAAATGTTTAATTACGATTTCCATCATAAGTTTTAAATCATGTTTTACAGAAAAATCCTGCTCATGCGTTACAAGAAATTATAAAACCCAAAACATTAATTTTATAAAAACACAGTCAAGTTCTTAAAACTTAGACATTGTTTCTCAATATTTTTTTGTTCAATTTTAAAGTCTGTTTTTTCAAGCTACCACCACTCAAGAATGTAGTTCATTTAATAAAAAAATGAAAATTTAAAACAACAATGATAAAAAATAATATTTAATGTAAGCTTAAGAAAATCTACTATATATAAAAGAAATATTTAAGAAATAAAATCCCAATTCACTAAATAAAAACATATTTTTTTTTATTTAAATCAATGAAAAAAAAAAATAAGAGTACGACAAATTCTTAGATTTACTTTAAATAATAAAAAAATGAAATGAAAAACACAGCAGGTTGGTAACAGAAAAAAACAATTTTTAATAAAAACTAAAACACAAGAATTTAAAGTTCAAAACTGAAATAATAAAAAAAACATTACCTTAGAATTTAATTTTTAAAACTAATCTATCTGGAAAACTCTTCTGTTTTAAAAAGTACTCCATACTTCGTTTCTGTATAGTTTGTCATAATTTTAATAAATTTACTTTAAATAATATATCTGCATTCGTATTTTTTAAAATTACAGATGGAGTAAGATTGAAATATTCTAAAAAAAAAATAATTCATGAAAAGCGAAACGAATAAAAACAATAAGCCAAATTGTAAACGCGTTTTCTTTTATTTGAGCGGGGATTATGAAATACTAGTTAAGGCGGGGGCAACAAAAGGGTGACGGCTTTGTCCGCAGACTTAGCCTTTCCCAGTCAGTTTATCGGCTTTCTAATTAATTTTATACCACATAGACACAGTAGTGACTTTTGCAATTTAGAACGACGTCGGTCTTGATTTTATATTCTTTCCGGTTAAGTGATCTCTGCACCCAGGCTTGAACTAGTTCTCCAGTCTTTATGATAGCTAAAAACCCTGACGCCAAAACGATACACCAACTTGTAAAAATCAGATCAGCCAGAGGCGAAATTACTCTGTTAGAAATAACGATCCTCGTGTTATCAAATTTTCGTGTTGCAAAAGCAATGGGTTGAGACCAGGGAGTTTTCCACTATACGTAGCTTCGCATGGTCTGACATGCGATGGCGAGTTCCGCCGGCGTCACGTTCAAAACTGCTGGAGAAGTGTTTTCTTAACCCTTATTATGATAACTAAGTTGTCACATTCGTAGGTTTTCACTTCCGGTTTTTAGGCATGCCTCCATCGAAAACATAGTTCTTACATGTGTAGTTTTTGCAGATAATGAGTACATTAAGCCCGCTTTTATATGTTTTTCTTCAGGAATTCTTAGCATTAATAAGTGTCAATCAAAAAAAAATGAAATCAATTGACTTAACTTCTCTTTTTATGTTAGGCTGTTTCCCATTGCAGCACCGAAATGCGCTAAAGAATTCCCTTAACGTATTTTAGAAAATCATACATGTTGAAGTTTTGCTCTGTCCTACTCTCTTTGTTATAAGATGATTTAGTGGTTTTATGAAGCGACTGCAAAGGGTGCTGACAAAGTCACTAACACCCTTATCAATGTTGTCTTCTATGTTCAGGGATTTCATGACTCAGTTCTTGGATTCTTGTTAGGTTTTTAGAATGTTCCCTTAATAGAGAGGTAAAAAAGTCTCTTCCTTTCGATATTTTCTAGTTTATAAATCACTTCTGATTTCGAAATCCATAAAAAAACGTTCTTTGCAGATTTATATACAACACGCGTAGGGCTTGACAAAATTTAGATTTCTCCCACATAACCAAACATTTTCTTTTCCTCTGCAGATATACAATACAATATCTCTATCAAATTTACAGTGCCTTACAACGTTATAAGTGAAGGGGTTTCATTTTCATTTTTTGCTGCTTTTTATTTCAATCTCCCTCTTCTTTGTAAATTATGTTTTCAGATCTCGTGATAATCATTTTTTACAGAACCTCTAACCTCTGGAGTCGAAACAGGACCTCATATTGCTCAATTATGTCACCCTTTTCGCAATGAAAACAACTCATAATTTTCTTTTTATAATTATGGAGTATTTTTATTAGAAATGTTGCTGTAAAATATAAAAAACAAATAATGTAACGTTACTTACATCGATACAGTACTCCATTATCACAGATATTTATATCACATATATATTTAGCCTTCACATGTATTTAGAATGCATGAAAGCATTTCCACAATCAATCATATGTTTGAGCTTAAAAAGAATATTGAAAAAATAAATCTTCAAAATATATTTAATGAGGTCTTAACTACATAGATATGGAAAAACAAAATTAATACCTTTTAAAAAAGGTATCATAAAACAACAGTTTACAAAACTTTACCATACTATTGCTAAACTATCATGCATTTATTATAAATGTGTCGGTATAAAAGCCGAAGTTTATTAAAAGAGGAAATTGTTTGTGGGTTAATATTTTAAAAAAATATTTTGCGTTCAATCAGCTCTGTAAAAAACAAACACATTACTTTTTTGCAAAGTATTGAAAGGTGCCCTCTTAATTATCAATTAAAGAACGCGTGCTGTGCTATGCACAAGCTATTCACTACGAAATTAGTAAAAAGCTGAAATAATTAGTTTAAAAATGCAAATTTTTTGATTGTGTTGCAAAAACATTAAAGTTTTTTCATAGTACATAGAACGTTAAGATAAGTAATGGTATACTATACAAAATTTAATGTTGAAAGACAATTATGTAATATTCTAAATGTTCTTCATGTTTATACGAATATATTCGTATACCAGTGACATAAACATGAAGAACAATGAAGGTATACCTATTAATTTAAATACAATCAAGCATAACATTAAAATAAAAGTGTCATATATTATTTTTTGTTTTAATATAATATAAATTTATATATTTAATAATCTTATTTAGATACAAGAAACTGTTCAAAAATGATTTTTTTTCTCTTAAAGATAGTTAATGTTGGCATCCAATTGCTTAAGAATTTTGATAAACACGTCTTGGCGCGTAGAACGATCTCTCGAGGTAATAATATTCATTAATTTTAACGCCAACTGTTGTCATCAAGGGTGGCTGCTGCTTGTTGTTAGGGTTAACATCACATGTTTTCATTAGAACTTCATTACATACTCTTAATTAGGTTGTACATAAGGAAAATACATATTAAAGATATCTGAGAAAGGACTTCCTATACGAAATAAAGAGAAGTGTAAATAGTAAATACTTATTGTATATAATCCTTCTTTATAGTTCGTAGAGTTATGTGTTGATACCAAAATATATAATAGCATACATTTTCTGTTAACAATGTAATGAACTAAACACTGGGGGAAATTAGCCTAGACCCCACTTCTGCTGTTTTTGGTACTTGTATTTAAAAACGCATATTATAGGCATAAAGTAAGACTACATAGTGTTTCTTGTGAAGAAAACTTAATTGACTATTTGGAGCAGTAAGAAATGAAGTACAAAACATTTTTTTAAATAAATGTCGGTAAAATTGCGGAAAAGAATATAATTAAACACTTTGAAATGCCTAAACACTACTTATTTTGAGGAAAAGATGTGTATTTTAGAAGAGTTGTTATTTATATTTCGGGTGAAGCTTTAAAAAAAAAATAAAAAAAATATTTTTTTTTCTTGATAGAAATTTTTAAATAATAAATATTGGCCCAAATTCTTTCTGATTGAACTGAAAACCAAAATACAAATAGCAACATGAATCATAGGAATTAAATATTAATCTTTAATACTAGCTTAAAGCAGATTTTAAACAAGGAAAAACATAAATTAATGGGATAGACACAAAAATTAAGCCAGCAGTTTAGTTTAAAAAAATTATCTAAAATGGTAAACACAGCAAACGAACGAACCACATTTAAAAAATAATAAATATTCAACACTTACCATGATTTAAACAGTATACGGATTCATACGATTCCCTTGCAAACTATTGTTTTTTTGGGGGCCACCATTATAGGATTGCTGATAATTGCCAAATTGTTGTGTAGTAGGAGGTATTGCTGCCGGTGTTGCTGAATTCCAGCCATTTGTGGCGGGCGGTGTATTATAGTTTATTGGGGCGGGTGGTGCTGGAGTACCATTCCACGTATTAGTAGTTGGAGCACTGTAGTTTCCTTGACTCCACGAAGTAGGAGCAGTAGCATATCCGTTCCATGACTGTTGTGGGGCAGCTGCTTGTACTGGAGGAGGCGCATAGGCACCATATCCTGCAGGTGGTTGAGTATATGAACTGTTTGCCGTTGGTGCAGGAGGATAGCCCCAATTTGCATACGTTTGTGGTGGAGGCGGATAACTATAAGCTGTTTGAGGATAGGTTGAGGGGGGATATGTTCCGACAGCTGCAGGATCTCCAACTGGAGCTGGAACTGTTCCATTGCCGTTTTGTTGTTGCTGTTGAAGTGCCAATCTTCTTGCCTGTACCTGTTTATAGTTTGATTTCTTCACATCTACCAACATGTACTTAATAGTATGGGTTTTCCTTACTAACATAATAAAAATTGGTTACCGACTATGGGCTTTTGACAATAGTTATAGTACTTACGCACAACCTTATCCACAGCATCATAATCATCAAATTCTACGAAAGCGAACCCCCTCTTACGCCCGGTGTTTTTGTCGACAAGAATGTTTATTGATACAACTTTACCAAATTGTTGGAAATACTCTCGAAGAGCTTCTTCGTCATGGTAATCTTTTAGACCTCCAACAAAGACTTTTCTTACAGAACCATTAGCCTCATTTTTTGCAGCTTCTGCGGAACGTGGTAGTGCCCGTTTTGTATCAATCGTTCTAGAATATGTAAATGGGGAACAATAAAACAAAACAATAAATTATATCCTAAATATACAATTTTCCACTTTAGAGGATGTTACAAAATTAGTTCTTTTGCACTCACCTTCCATCAACAACATGTGGCCTAGCTGCTTGGGCCTTATCAACACTTTCAGAAGATTTGAACGTTATAAATCCAAAACCTCTTGAGCGCTTTGTCGCTGTATCCCGCATAATAATTATATCTTCTATTTCACCAAACTGATAGAAAAAGTTTCGAATCATATCTTCATTTGTATTAGGCGTTAAGCCACCTAGAAACATTTTACGTAGGTGATCATCCGTTTGGACAGCAGAAGAATTAGTCTGAAAAAAGGCAAAAAAAAAATATTTGCAACATTGGCAACCACTCTAGTAAAAACTCTCGGATTTTTTTTTTAAATTTTTCGATTGGTAGGTATTTGCACCGGGAAAGCATTTTTTTCTTGGGGGCCGGACCCGAATATGTGTGATCCAAGCGGTCTTTGACCCGGACCTACTGAACAAATATGGACAATACAGGTATCATTTGAAAGCTAATGAAAATACTTATTGTCCTATATTGTCTATTATCGCTTTAGTATGTCCGGATTTAACCCGGGGCTTGGACCCGGACTTTTGGGTCAGATATCCGGGCCCGTTCCCCAAGAAAAAATCCTTTCTCGGAATCAGGGAACAAAGACCATTGAATTACTCAACTCAAAGGGACTCCCATATTATGGTACCGTTTAACAGTTCGACGAATTGTGGGCGTAAAGTAAGGAACTCTAATTCTTGCTCTCTTTGAAAGATTTAATGGAGAAATGGTCCAAACGATGTGGACACAGTTTTCTCCAATTCTATTCTACATTTTCACGAACGTATGACACCTTTCTTATTGGAAATCCAAACCGCGTTCACCTTTGTGTGTACCGATGTAAAAGTTGTATCTTTGCATAGACTAGACGTGTACACACAAGGTACGTATGTATGCAGTTTGACTATTTTACAGCCAGTTTCTTTCTAAACAACAACCAATTTCTTTCTAACATGCTTTCGTCATCAAGTTTCTTATTTTTTTAAACAGTTGTTTACATGAAATACCTGATTTTTTTCCTGACTTTCATAAGACATATTTATAGTTGATTTTTTTAACTTTTTATAATAGAAAAATTGAACTTAATTATGTCCGAGATAATAAAACCAGTAGAAAATGGTCAAATAACTTTGTAAGATACACCAACTTAAATTAGAGACAGGTGGGTCGACTTCCAATTAATCGAATAATCGACTTCTAGTAGGGATAGGTAGGTCAACTTCCGATTAATTTTCAAACTTGCTAAAGTCGATTGCATGGTAGAATTAAGAAGTTAAAGAAGGACCATCGCACTCAGCACGCGCCACCCAAGAATGGTTACAAAATGAGATCCTTCTCTTCATTTCCAGCGCACAATGGCCACCAAAATCTCCGGATACTAATCCGTTTGACTATTGTGTCTGGAGTATTTTGGAAAGAATGGTTGGCACCATGGTAGAAGAATTACATAATAAAGGCCTTTTCGACACACTGACTTTGTCGATTCAATCATGCACTATGTATTTGATAGGCAATGACAACCAACAACATCCACCATTTTGATTCATATGTGCCATTGTCTAAGGCATGGTAGAAGAATATAGTTAGACGCGTCGACACAGCTGCTGGGACAATGAACTGTCAAACCAATTTTGGAATTGAAAATGTTGAATGAAAAATTATTTAAATTTGTAAAAATTGTTGAAAAACACGAATTATAATAGCCTCCGACTGACGTAGCATAAGAAAACATATAAAAATCTACTTATATTTGAAAAAACATTTTAATCTTTTTGGCATATCAATGCGTTGATGCATCTACCTGTATTCTTCTGCCATGGTTTAAGGTTCGATCGTGGCATGGCTGACTCGAATATTTGCATGGTGTTCTCCGTAAATGCAGGGTGTCGGCGATGACATCGAATCATGTCATCGTCAAATTATGTGTCATTTGTGTACGTGTGGTTAAATTGAGATAGTGTGTGTGTGTGTGTGTTACTTTAGACGGTGAGGATGTGTTTTTGTGTGTGCTGTAATTTTGAAGTAACAAACACAGCGTAAATATAAAATGGAATACCAAACCAATGATTAAAAAATATTCTTATTATTAGATGAGGGCAGATATGACTCTCATTCAATATCGAAATATGAATGGACATCAACAAAAAAATGGAAAATATACTGGACAATCCCAGTTTATTGGTGTCTATCATAAATGTTTGGTCATAAAATAATAAGAAAGTATTGTTTGCCTATTTTTTACCTACATATAGTAGTTCTGTTCCAGAACCTGCAAATTAGTACTAATTAGCAGTAATTCTGCTACAACGCGTTCCCGCACTCCAAAAACTAGCAAAACTTGCAGCTCTCTCGAGAAAAAAATGGCGCTGAGTGGTGCACATTTCTGCTTGTTTTAGCTACATGAATTTGGCCGAGCAGAAATGTGCATATTGTAAATTTGACATTTAATTGGCAGGGCTAACAAGGTTGAAAAATGTATTGATACATTTCAATAAAGAAAATGATCAACTTGAAAACTAAAGGAAAAACTAATATTTGTCGTGCAAAAAACAAAAAGAGAAAATATGGAGCAACTGATGTATTTACTTTTGGATGATTCCAGCAGTGAAGAGGACTGGCTGAATGAGGAACCAGATTATTAATTATTATTATAAATTATTAATTTTAACTTATCGTCTTCAATACTCATTTTTTAAATGTTGGCGCTCTTTTCAGTAAGGTTTCACCAGTTCGATTTAGGCTGTTTACTTTTGGAATTTTGAATTTTGACATTTTATGGCATTTCTGCTAATTTTCCGTTCCCTTATTTTTTGAGCAAACCTAAATGAGAATGACATTCCGAAATGTTCTCTCTTCTGCTAGTTTTACTACTAAAAAAGTACTGGAACACAACTAGTGTTCTCTTAAAATTGCAGTATGTGGGCAGAGATATGACTTTCATTCAATAACAGAATTTTTACGGAATAGAACAGTGGAAGTATATAGTGTATATATAAATTAAAGTAACACTCATTTTCAATTACACCTCAGTACTGGAGGCAAAAACCGTGTTTTTATTTATAAAAATTTGTAAGGGTTTTTTTTTTAATAAGGAATAACAATTTGGATTGTTTCGTCATTAACCGCGATGTGTGAACATTTTGGGTGAACCATTACCATTACTGTTGGCAATTGTTTCTTTTTTGTTGTTATTTTTTTGGTAGAACATTTTTGAATGACACACTATTCAACATCCCCTTTTATTGGTCTGACCGACATGACGGACATAGAGCATTTGGTTGGATGTCACGTACTGTTATGCGTTTGATCCAACAGGGCATAACATGACGAGCGTTTTCTCTCCATGGCATAAATAAAGAAAATTATCACATTTGCAGCCCTTTAATACGTAGATACATCAACGCTTATGCTAGGAACACAATTGGAGCGAACGACGAATTTTTTCGCGGCGTATGTTCGTCGTCAAAAATAAAACACATATGTGTATATGGAAGTGCACACAATCACGGCACCGGCGAAAATTTCGTCGGTCGCCGCGAACTCAATTAGCTTTATTTCTATTTCATACGCCGGCGACCGGCGAACAAAACAGTACAAGGTGGCCATACTTGTACGAATTTTATGTGTTTTAGTAAATAAAGTTACTTTTTACTTTAAAATTTGTTATGGTCACTATACTATCTGTTACTCGTATAAAAAAAACATAATTAATTTGTTTATTTATTTGTGTACTTGCGCCTGAGTGAAGATGGATATCAGTGAATTTATAATAGAGAAGATGGACATAAGTGAAATTATAATAGAGAACGTAAAGAATTATGTGTTCTTGTATAATTCATTGTAGTCAACAAATGAGCAAAAAGTAAACAACTTCATCAGCTGTTATATAATTTCGTCGGTATTGTGTTCCATACGACGAATTTTCGCGGCTCATTTTGTCGCCGCGTAGGGCGAAATTCGTCGTTCGCTCCAATTGTGTTCCTAGCATTAGGAACATTGATATGTCAAAATTTTTGAAATGTTTTTAAAAGATAAGTGGCTTTTTCTATGTTTTCTTAAAATGCGAAAGTCGTTGTTGTAATGATATTTATTTTTCAAAAAATTGTACAAATTTCAATAATTTGTCATTCATTATTTTCAATTCCAAAATTGTTTTGACTGTTCATTGTCCCAGCAGCTGTGTCGATGCGACCACCTGTATTCTTCTACCATGGTTGGCACTGAAAAAAAACCAAAGTGTCCATCACCTCATCTTCTTCATTTTACCATGTTTTAACTCCTAGATATTGGAAATTTTACATTACATAATGTATAGCTTCTTTAAGCTACTTGATTACCAAACATACATTTTGACAACCAAACAAAGGCAATGGAAATATAAGTTTTCGAGAGAAAGATATTGAGAAGGTGTTTGGAAAAAACACGATAATCCCACAAAAATGCACTCCAACAGTTTCATATATGAAATCTCAGCAATCCAGCGGTTTTGCTCTTAAGCTGGAAATACATAAAGCGCTTATCTGGCTGGCTTAAGTCATCGGCTGGCTTCTTCGTAAATGAACAAAGGAGCCTAGGTCCAAAATCGAACTAAGTCAACCTAAAACTCATTTGTTCATTTACGAAGAAGCCAGCCTTCAAAGACTCTTCGTCGATAAACTTGGCAGCCATGAAAATTCCACAATAAGAGACATATATGAGTGTGAAAAGCATATGATCCAATGTACCTTACATGGTAGAAAAATTCAGGTAGATGCATAAACGCTTGGGAACATTGATATGTCAAAATATTTTATATGTCTTTTCAAATATAAGTAGATTTTTATATGTTTTCTCATACCACGTCATTCGGAGGTTATTATAATACGCGTTTTTTTTTTAACAATTTTTACAAATTTAAATAATTTTTCATTCAACATTTTCAATTTCAAAAATGGTTTGACAGTTCATTGTCCCAGCAGCTGTGTCGACGCGTCTACCTATATTCTTCTACCATGGTACCTTACCTGTCGCTTGTTGGTAATCTCAACGAAAAATCCAATATTGCACCGGAAAGAACGATGCCTCAATTTTACACTGTATCCACCCCTGGAATACATCGTGGCTAGAATTAACTGCTCATTCTTACCGAAACAACATAATAGAACTAGTAAAATAAAAATCCTACGCTGATTTATTAAAACTTACCTGAATTAAGCATACCTTAAGAAGCGGTTAATTTATTTAAAAAAATCCTACGCTAAAGTATTAAAACTTAATTATATTAAGCTTATGTGGCGTTTCCACTGCACTTGATTCGCTCTCTATTCGTTGTTTGACCCTTAACTATGAAAAAACTACCTAATTCTTCACACAAAATTTCCTGAGCGAACACTCATATTTGTACGTTGTTCAATTCAAATCACTCTCAGAACAACGAAAAAATATGTCCCATCCCTAACAAATGAGAGCATTTATCGAAAAAATAAATTATGACATTTAAAATTAAAAATAGAAAAATTTAATGAAAATTTAAAATTTTTTGGGAAGACTGAAAATTATGTATGAAAACTACAATGTTGAATGGCGTATGTACATTCAAACGAAAGTAAATTTTGTTTTCTCTCTCATTCGAAGTACGCATTTGGTCCACGAGATGAAATTTCCACAGAAAACTGCAAACAAAAGAGGCAATATTTTCAAAATGTTTCTATTGGCAGAAAAAATGTTTGACAAGTGTCTCTCCAGTAGAATTTAAAAATGGAAAAACACAAAAATATGTTCAAAATGTCAAGATTTACACAAAAAGTTGAAAACGTGAATGAAAATTATAAAATTATTGATATAATAAATCTTTGGGGGAAAAACAATCATTTCTTTTATTCATATTAGTGAGAATTTAATGTATTTTAGTATAAATTCCCATTAAAATCAAGAAACAAAATTTTTGAAAAAAGGAATTATTTTACTATGAATTACGAATCGTGCCGTATGAACGGGTTAATTCGTGTACCTAATTCTGAGAGCGAACAACGTTGTTCGGTTTCCAATGGAAACATGCTATTATCTTAAGAAGCGGTTCTGACGTATAAATAGCGTATAGCAGTAAATGTCTTGCGTCCCTCTAATACGTTATGCGTGATTTTAGTGAACTATCTCGTGTATTCGAATACCAATGTAAAACTTGGCAGCATTTTACTCTCATTTCCGCTTCTGTCATCGGCATATAGGTGTAGACATTTTTCTTCTGAATCATTTCTAGTTAAAAAGTTGAACGGGAAACTCCTGGTTGCGCGTCTTCTGCCGTGGTATTTTTGTATTTATCAAGTGTGTTTTAATTTATAAAGCCGGGAAATAAAAATGACTAACCAAAACGGAAATCAGCAAAATGGCGACAACAACGATGTAAGTATGCGTATTTTTATTTTTCTCATTTGTGATGTCTAGAACATTCGAAGAAGGCGATTATCCGCCATTTTGTTTTTTTTCATGATTATTGATGCGATAACGAAATTTGTTTCCATTTTATTAGGACCAAATCACCGAGCCCGAGCAATTCCGCAAGTTGTTCATTGGCGGTTTGGATTACCGTACAACCGACGACGGTCTAAAGTCTCATTTTGAGAAATGGGGACGTGTGGTCGATGTTGTTGTTATGAAGGATCCCCGCACCAAGAAATCACGTGGCTTTGGCTTCATTACTTACTCAAAGTCATCAATGGTCGATGATGCCCAAAATGCACGTCCACACAAAATTGATGGACGCGTTGTTGAACCAAAGCGTGCTGTGCCACGTCAAGATATTGATAATCCTAATGCTGGAGCCACGGTAAAGAAAGTTTTCGTTGGTGGTCTTAAAGATGAGCACGATGAACAATGTTTACGTGACTATTTCAACAAATATGGAAACATTGTCGAAGTCAATGTAGTTATGGACAAGGAAACCGGCAAGAAGCGTGGGTTTGCCTTTGTTGAATATGACGATTACGATCCCGTTGACAAGATTGTATGTAAGTAGATACTTGCTTTCTTTTCTAGTATTCTAGTGACATTTATGTACAGTCCCAGCTCCGCATATGTTTATTTGATGACATTGTGCGGCGTTTCATTGGCTGTTAGACCAAATTAACGTAGATTATATCTTTGTTAGGTCATTCCAAAAATAATTATCTGATGAAAAAGTCTGCGTTACACTCTTACACAAAATTTCTTATAATCTTTTTAAAATATCTGACGTTTTATGTTAATTTTTTTGTATATTTCTATTTTTTGCAGTACAAAAAGCTCACACTATTAAAAACAAAACTCTGGATGTGAAAAAAGCATTGCCAAAGAATGATATGTCAGGTCCACAAGGCGGTAATATGGGACGCGGCGGTAACATGGGCCGTGGTGGTAATATGGGTCGTGGCGGTAATATGGGCCGTGGCGGTAACATGGGACGTGGTGGTAATATGGGAAATCAAAATGGAATGGGTGGCGGCGGCAGCGGCGGTTGGGGTGGTAATGGAAACTGGGGTGGAAACTTTAATAATGGTGGTGGTTTCAATAACGGCCCCGGCGGTAACGGTGGTGGTTGGGGTGGAAATAATATGGGTCCTTGGGATAATAACGGCGGCGGTGGTTGGAACAACGGTGGCAACTTTGGCGGTCCAAACAATGGTGGCAATAGTGGTAACTGGGGTAACGACGATTTTGGGGGCGGCTATCAACAAAGTTATGGTGGTGGCCCACAACGTGGTGGAAACTTTGGAAACAATCGTATGCAGCCTTACGGCGGCAAAAATAATTTCGGAAGCAATATGGGTAAGTTTCCTTCTGTAAATAAACATATTATAAGTTCTATAATAGAAGAGAATTGCAAATACATAATCGCAGTTCCCTGACCCAATTGTCAAATGTATTGCATATTTGAACAATTCCATTTTAAAGCTGCGAGAATAAATACTACAGCGTCGGCTTTTGCTATGTTATGCGGATTATATTACAGTATTCGTTATAACACGCAGCCTCGCTACATTTTAATTTATTTATTTATTTTTTTAATTTATTATTAATTTATGGCAAATTAACCGGTGCACTATGGGTAAAAAGCATGATTTTTTGGCATAAAGTCATTTTTTTTTGGTTTCATATTTTGAAATTTAACTGATTTCCTAAATATAGATACCCATATTAGAAAAAAAAAATGTTTAATATCAATACGGGTGGCAACCCTTTTTTGCTGGCGAGCTTTTAAAGTCAGCTGTTTGAAAGTCACTTTGTTTTGGTACAACTGGCGGTAAAGATCAGCTAAGTTCAAGTGCTTCTGATTTGACAAAATTGAAAAAAATAAAATGTCTAATTATGGAAAACGTTAGTGCGGGTATGTACAATTAAGACGAGGTGCCCTTTTTGTCATAATTGTATGTTGTTGTAATACTGTGAATTGTTTCGTTTATGTATAGCTTTATATAAAATCTATAAATTGTAGTTGTGTTCCGTGGAGTGTAACTTTTGAATGGCAAAGCATTGCAAAAAGGTATAAATGCCAAGTTATTAACAAAAGTGTGTTAATTAATTAGTAACTAGCCTTTTTTGTTCTATTTTGTGCCAACACGTGTTTTGCAGATAAACATTTGTTTGTCCATGCAGCGCTTATTGAAATTTGGAGAAGCAACAATCGCTCAGAAGATGCACTTGTGAAATATGTGTTACAGAATATCAATAATATCAGTTTAAATGAAGACCAAATGCGTTTGATATCAAAACAAGTGAAAGATTTTGTTAATTATATAAAAAAGCATTTGCCAGAGTGCATCCGTAAACTAGAGCGATTTAAAACTAAACATTCAAAATGGCTTAGCAAAAGTATAATTATTGTAATGAATGAGCAGTATGTTTCTCCAAATCATCATAGCCGATCGGCTATATAGCAGCTACGTGAAATAGTGCCCCAAATCATATGAAAATTCGTAGGTCATCTTGGGGGCATAAAAATGAATACAAATCAAATTTCACTTCAACAGCTTCATAAATAAAAAAGATGGGTCAAATAGGCCAGACCGGCTATATAGCAGCTACATAAGAAATAGTGCCCCAAATCATATGAAAATTCGTAAGTCATCTTGGGGGGGCTTAAAAAATGAATACAAACCAAATTTCACTTCAATAGCTTCATAAACAAAAAAGTTGGGTCAAATCGGCCAAATCGGCTATATAGCAGCTATATGAAATAGTGCCCCAAATCATATGAAAATTCGTAAGTCATCTTTGGGGTATAAAAAATTAATACAAACCAAATTTCACTTCAATAGCTTCATAAACAAAAAAGTTGGGTCAAATCGGCCAGATCGGCTATATAGCAGCTATATGAAATAGTGCCCCAAATCATATGAAAATTGGTAGGTCATCTTGGAAGCATAAAAAATGCATACAAACCAAATTTCAATTCAATAGCTTTGAAATTAGAGTTTATGCCAAAATAAACGTAAAAAAACCCATAGTGCGGTGGTTGCAAATTATCTTCTGAATAATAATCCCGTTATACAACAATTTCCATCCGTTTTTACACGAAATGTTTAATTGGCAGCACAGTTCCCTGACACAATTGTCAAATGTAAATCCTATTTGAATAATTCCTTCAAAAACTGTCAGAGTAAATGTTTCTGCGTCGGCTTTTGCTATGTTATGTGAATTAATATATGTGTTCATTGTAACACGCAGCCTCGCAACAAGTTCCGGTGTATACACACTTGGTATTCCCATTATTTTGCTTTGACGAAATGTACTTGTTTTGTGGATTTCCACAACACCCATTTGAATATGTTCGCAACTACACACCACCACAGTCCCAGCTCCGGGTAAAATTCTCAATAATTATATCCGGCGTTTCATGACTGTAATAAAAAAACCCTGCATCTATTATATTAGTGTTAATTTATACAATTTTTATAAATTGATGAAAATGTATTTGCTACAAGCTTTTCTTAAAAACGTTACATTTAAAGAAAAATATATACATAAAAATGTCGATATAATTAAATTATTTTTAATTAATTGCAGGAAACCAAGGAAATTTCGGTAACAATCCCGGATTTAACAATGGACCCATGGGAGTAGGCGGTGGAAATGCCGGCAATAATAGAAGATATTAAAATGTAAGTACCGAAACATATACATGACATATTTCTGTTTCAACGAAGAGATTTAAACAAATTATAGATGAACGTTGTTTGTGTCTAGGGTGATGTTTTTAAACAAAATGCTAGCTTTAGCTTCCTTATTATTTTAAGAATTTTGTTTTATTTTTAGACTCTTTTTGGTTTTCAATAGTTATCTAAAATTTCTAGATGCAACAATTAATCAATCATGATACAATGATTAATATTTTTATTCTAACATATTTTTATAGGTGTTTTAAAAATTTCCAGGTCCAATAACAGTGTATAAAAATCCATTCAGAATGCAAACCATACAGTTACAGTTTTACAACAGTTACAAAATACAAAAATAGTGTAAGGATCATTCTTATCAATTATACACGTCCTCCTTCTCTAAGCCATCAATATATTCTTGAACATAAGAGATGAAGAGTTTTCTAATCGCATAGAAATGTATACCAGAAAAGTGAAGAGAAAGGTGAAGGAGGAGGGATTATTTGAGAAAAATAACAGGAGTATAAGAAGTTATATAGTGTGGACAAAGCTAAGAGGAAGATGAAGAGGAGAAGTAAACGGCAGCGCAATAACATCTAACTACTATGGAGAAAAATTATGATTAAGAATTGTTCTTCTATAAGAGAGGAGATAATCCCTTCAATAAAAGAATTAGCTGATAGTAGTATATGGAAGACAGTGATTACATATGAATATTTCTTTGAGAAGAGATGAATACAGATCATTAGAGCTAACGTAATTATATCTGTATATGCAGAAGAGTATAGTACTGTAAGTCATCTTTAGCTGTACGTTTTTTTCTTCGAAGGAACTTTGTCCAGTATACTACCATGATTATCAAAAAAAAAAAAAAAAAAAAGATTTTTATTACATAAAATAGATACGACTTCCCCCCTAATTGGAAAATGTCAACCAACAACATTTTAGAGTATTCGCACGACGCATGTAATTCGTTCGTATGTGCTTCATATTAAGTCATAAGAAAAAATATAATTTGAGGCAATTTCTCTGCCTCTGTAGTAGATTTTAAGCAGTCTCATTAAAGCATAGCCATTAAGTTTTTTAGACTTACAAAATTTGTGGCAATTCTTATTTTAAATTATATAATTACAAAACTAGAAATAGAAGAACAAGATCAACTTTTGAAGAAGGCTATCAGAGATCCTAATTAATTTCCTATGCATTCAACTCTGTGTATTAGTGAACTCCAATTAGCTAATTATATGTGTGTTAGTATTTGACGAAGAAATTCTAATGTAAACAACAATTACATATTGTTGTGTGTTTCTTTTTTACAATGCTATAAAGTTTAATATTGTGTAAGACTTCTAATACAAGATTTGACTTCAGATTTTTAGCCACATTATATTTAAAAGAAAAAGAAGAGAACAAATATATGTACATATTTATTTACATTACGAAAAAATGTAACAAACATATTTAGATCATAATGAGTTTGATTTTCCTTTTGATAAGTTTATAGAGTTTTAGATCAGATACGAAGATGTCTTATATCAGTCCATATTATTTTTTAAACAAATTTTCATTTTGTGTTTTGCTTATTAATATTATTTTTGTGTTCCAAGAACTGGGATTGGGAATTGGAATACATTCCAGTTGGCTTGCTGCCTGTTCTATAAAGACTGCGTGAGGAGAAAAAAATCACATCTCACTGGTAAGTAAATAATATCACATTTAATTTAGGACTAACCTTTACCAGAGGTGGAGTGGAAATCCTATGTGAAATCAAAGGTCCGGTTTCTCAATTGATCGCCAAATCGTCAAAAGTCAATGATATTTTTTTCTGTATATGAATATTTTTTAATATTTATTTATAATTTCACAATAAAAATTGAATGAATATTAAACATATATTTCATTTTTTTTCTCGAGTTTAGCACTCGGTCAGGCATTAAGGTAAGTTTTCCCTGATTCAGATTAGGCAAGTTTGTTGCCGAAAAAGTCAGTTTTCTGTTCAACAAAAATGTCGATCATAAAATTTTAAGTTCTCATAGACAGGAATTATTATTTGTAATAAAAAAAGGGAAGAGAGAAATTCCTTACGGAATTGCTATCCATAATTGGACTGTATGTATAAATACACTTTTTGTTGGGAATAGACCCAACCCGATAGACGACGACATCGACATGGACCTTATCGATCTCGATAATTAAAACCAATCGATGTCGTCACATCTATAGGCCAGCACTCCTCTTGAAGCTTAAAAAGGTGGATCGCCAGATCATAAAAAATTGTGAATTTTTATATAAAATAAATACACTTGAAGCTTTTAATTTCAAAAGTATTATTTTTTTTGGGTTATTAAGGGTCTAGGAACAATTTTAGTTTAGTAAAAACTCTTCGATTTTTTCCAGAGGTAGGTATTTTTACCCTGATCCCAGGAAACTATTTTTTCTTGGGGGACGGACCTGGGACCTCAGACTTTTGACCCGAAAGTCCGGGTCCAAGACCCCGACTAGACCCGGATCAAATTTCCCAATAGAGACAACACAGATATCGTTGGAAAGCTTATGAAGATACCTAGTACGGGGTAAGATGTTACGGTTCGGAAGTTATAGTCAAATTATCGATTTTTTGGACCCGGATTTTTTATGAAACCCTCAAAAAGTCAAAAAAGGGCCCATTATGGGGGTCAATAAAATTGTTTCCAAATTATAGCTACAATGCTACAATTTGTGCTAATACCTTTTTCGGGTCCAGAGATATGGGTCTTTCCATCCGCATAACACGATTCTAACCAGTTCATTAAAATGATTTTTTCAATAAAAAAAAAGGGTTTATTTCGCGTAGCAGTCGTCGGAATAACAAAAGTTTTCTAAATTTGGCACTTTTTGTAAATAGCCGGCCTTCGGCAGGGGCTTGAAATTTTCTCCTCTGGGTATGTCCGACACCGGCTAACGCGATCAAAAGGTTTTTAAATTCGGCACATTTTGTAAATAGCTGGCCTTCGGCCGGGGCTTGAGATATTCTCCTCTGGGTATGTCCTACACCGGCTAACGCGAACCAAACTTTTCTAAATTTGACACATTTTGTAAATAGCCGGCCTTCCACCGGGGCTTGGGATTTTCTCCTCTGAGTATGTCCAACACCGGCTATCGCAAACCAAAGATTTCTGAATTTGATGCTTACGCAAAATATACCTTTTTTATTGAAAACAAAATTTTAATGAACTGGTTAGGATCGGGTTATGCGGATGGAAAGACCCATATCTCTGGACTCAGTAAAGGTATTAGCACAAATTGTAGCATTTTGGATAGGTATTTATAGGTATAGGTATTTTCATAAGCTTTCCAACGATATCTATATTGTCTATATCGGGGTCTTGAACCCGGATTTCGGGTCAAAAATCTGGGGTCCCAGGTCCATCCCCTAAGAAAAAAATAGTTTCCCGGGATCAGGGTAAAATACCTACTACTGGAAAAAATTGAAGGGTTTTTACTAAACTAGAGTTAAGCCAAGGTCTATAACTAAACATTTCGTCAGGAGCTATATTGGTCTCGCGAGCAAATTGCTTTCTGAACTAAAAATATTTGTAAAAATTGTTCAAAAATTTACAGGCCTGGCGTAAAACAGAACGTATCCGCATTTCACACGTACATACATTTCACATGAAAAAAATACATTCAGTGCATCAATGAACGTCCAAAAGCCATGAAAATCGTACATTAAAGAACACACATATTTGTTTATTCCTTTCATACCATAATACTAAAGCCTCCAAGCCAATGAGCAGTATTAATAATCAAATTATGTTCCTAAGAAGTGAATACTAACTTAAAAATAATTATAACTAAGTCAATATATATGGGTGGGAGTGTGCGATGGTCCCTTGTGGGACTTCTCAACCGTTTGAAAAAAATCGTTAATTATAAATGCATCATTCTACAACTGGATGAAGTCATCTGGAGATCACCACTCGGTGGTTTCTTGACTGAAAGATGGGTGACTCAATCTCAATTTATAATAAATCGTATAATAAATTGTCAAAAATGCTTCGATATTTATCATGGCAAGACAAAGAGAGTTCCATGGGATGTCTGTGTGTTCACAAATACAAATGTATAAATTGTCTTGAATCTTTTCGTCAAAATTATCGAACATACCAAAAATACAATACAGCTTGAGAATAATATTATAAAAATATAATTTTTCAACAATGCTTGAGAAACACTTACGTTCCACAAACAAAGCTCAAAGCTCAGATAAGGGAGAAGATAGCGTCAGGGTATCAAGGCCACATGAGGAAGTTACTACTGGGATGTCCATCAAGAAAAAAATATGTAAAATGATTAAAAATTAAAAAATTAATATTTTATGCTATTACAAAAATAAGCTTACTATAATATTATTTTCGTAAGCTTATTCTACAATTTCAAGTATAAGCTTATAAATAAGGTTTCCATTTCGATTATTCTATACTTGTTACACAAACATTGTTCAATGTTTTCTCAAGCTTAAGGCTTATGTTAATAAGCTTATTGTAATATTATTCTCAAGCCGTTTTGGTATGTTGGGTATTTGGTGGAATATATAGTTTAATTCGAGCAGTCGATGGAAAATATGCTCTCTGTGACAATTTAAGTGTTAGAGCGTTACCTGACTTTCGACGTACTCGGTCGACGTTTTTCACAAGTAAAATACATGTGTTTACATGAGGGTGGCCCAAATACGCGTTGAGTGATTAGACCATGGTAGAAGAATATAGGTAGATGCATCAACATTCGCGAACATTGATGTGTCAATTTCAATTCCAAAATTGGTTTGACAGCTCAATGTACCAGCAGCTGTGTTGATGCGTCTACCCGTATCATTTTATCATGGATTAGACCTACAGCTAACAACTATACATTCAGGGGAATGATATGAAAGCATTTTAAATAAATAATTGAGAAACTATTCTTTATTGGCCTTGCCGTGATATAAATGCAACATAACTAACTTTGAAAAAATTGCAAGTATAGACGTCTACCTGTTTGGCTTGTAATGTCAGAATTACTATCAAAACTAAAAACAACTTGTTGCATCCATTTTGAGTTTAAAGATGCATACGTTGCAATAGGCATTTTGAAAACACCCGAACTTAAATATTTTCTAAATAATTTTTTTATTATTGAAAAGAATACAAACTCAACATTATTAAGCCGAGAAAACAAAAAAAAAAAAACTAAAATCATATCCCTACCTTGATTTTATTGTACCATGGCTAGTGCTGCCAGCCTTAATACACATTTCCCATCATGGCTTAGCAAGAAAAAACAAAATCAGTACAGCAGGGTACCTATAACATAGACAAACGTAAATATAGACAACGGAAAGTCAGTTTTGTCAACATGCTGATTTACGCAGTCGACCTACTCTATAAATATTTTTCGTAATATAACTTTCTAAAATTATTGTTTAAAGAAAATAGGGTAAGTGCGCCTATGTTTGGCATGTCCCAGTAGTCGACAGTTTTGAAAAAATGAAATAATTAAAAAAAAAAAACGTCAACAGTGTTCTCTGCTCTCTTTCTTTAAAAAACAACGAGCTCCGATCATTTATTACGAGAGATTTCGTCAGTTAATGTCTTCCAACGCGTGCGATAGTGCTTGTTTGTAAAGAAAAAAATGGTGGTGGCGTCAATTTAATAATCGATTAAGGTAAATTAAATACTTTTGGATTCAGAAATATTTTATAATAGTAAATAAGAGTCTAAAGATCATTTTATAACTTAAAAACATACAAATCAAGCATTTTCTGTTATATTATTTACTGCCGACATTAGGAACAGAAAACAAGTAAAAAACATTAAGTTCGGTCGGGCCGAACTTTTAATACCCTCCACCTTAGGGTAATGGAAACATTAGAACCAAAAGGGCTATACAAAAACGTGGACCCATTCGCCAACGGAGCTAGAACCTATTATGACCAACTAATTCTAACTTTTAGACAAATCCGTGAAAAATGTGACAAAAACCATCAAAATACCGAATATCGGGAGATACCGTCATATGGGGGCTATACCAAAGCGTGGACCTATACATACAATGTTTCGCCACACGAACTAGGACCCATTATGATCTACAAATACCAATTCTCAGACAAATCTGTGAAAAAATGTGGCAAATATAATTAAAATACCGAATATCAGGAGGTACCGCTATATGAGGGCTATACCAAAACGTGGACTTATACATGCAATGTTTCGTCACCGGAGCTAGAACCCATTATGACCAACAAATACCAATTTTTAGACAAACCCATGAAAAAAATGTGGCAAAAATCATCAAAATACCGAATATAGGGAGGTACCGTTATATGGGGGCTATACAAAAAGGGAACCTATACATGCAATGTTTCGTCACCGGAGCTAGAACTCACTATGACCAACAAATACCAATTTTTAGACAAATCCATGAAAAAATGCTGCAAAAATCA